CACACGCGCTCGCACACACAGAGACACACACAGACACACACAGAGACACACAGACACACAGACAGACACACACAGACACACAGACATACACACACAGACACACAGACAGACAAACGCGCTCACACACAGACACACACAGACACACACACACAGACACACACACAGACACACACAGACACACAGAAACACACACAGACACACACAGAGACACACGCGCTCGCACACACAGAGACACACACAGACACACACACACAGACACAGACAGACACACGCGCTCACACACACACACAGACACACACAGAGACACACAGACACACACAGAGACACACACACAGACACACACACAGAGACACACACACAGACACACACACAGACACACACACAGACAGACACACACACACAGACACACAGACAGACAAACGCGCTCACACACAGACACACACAGACACACACAGAGACACACACAGACACACACAGAGACACACGCGCTCGCACACACAGAGACACACACAGACACACACAGAGACACACAGACACACAGACAGACACACACAGACACACAGACACACACACAGAGACACACACACAGACACACACACAGACACGCACACAGACACACACACAGACACACACACAGACAAACGCGCTCACACACAGACACACACAGACACACACACAGACACACACGCGCTCACGCACACAGACGCAACATTCATCTCAGCGCTCGAATTCTTGACTCGTCTATGAAGCAGTCATTAATGGCACCCCCTGGGGAGCGCGGAGGGGTTGGAGGGGATGGAGGGGATGAGGAGGTGGTGGGAGGTGGAGGGGGGCCTGGGCACAAGGCGACACTCGACCCTGCGAGCCTCCGTGTTCGGTCTTGGGTGGTCTCAACTACTGGGGTTGGGGGATCACGGGAGGGAAGAGGGGGGGGGGGGTAAGGAAGGAGGGGGGGTATTTGGGGGTTGTTTGCTGGGCGTCGCGAGTTAACTCCGCACGCGGAATCACAGCGCCCCCGTGTGGCGAGGGTCGAGAAGGCCGACAAGGAAGGGGAACGTGAACGCAGAGAGCGCATGAGCAGTCAAAACAGACAGACACTACCCTACCCCTAACACTAACCAAACTACCCTACCCCTAACACGAACCATACTAGCCCACCACTCTACATCTACCCCTAACACTAACCACACTAGCCCACCACTCTAACACTAACCACACTAGCCCACCACTCTAACACTAACCACACTAGCCCACCACTCTAACACAAACCACACTAGCCCACCACTCTACCCTACCACTAACACTAACCACACTAGCCCACCACTCTACCCTACCACTAACACTAACCACACTAGCTCACCACTCTACATCTACCCCTAACATTATCCACACTAGCCCACCACTCTAACCTACCACTAACACTAACCACACTAGCCCACCACTCTAACACTAACCACACTAACCCACCACTCTACCCCTAACACTAGCCACACTAGCCCACCACTCTACCACTAACACTAACCACACTAGCCCACCACTCTACCATTAACACTAGCCACACTAGCCCACCACTCTACCCTACCACTAACACTAACCACAATAGCCCACCACTCTACCCTTAACACTAACCACGCTAGCCCACCACTCTACCCTGCCACTAACACTAACCACGCTAGCCCACCACTCTACCCCTAACACTAACCACACTAGCCCACCACTCTACCACTAACACTAACCACACTAGCTCACCACTCTACCACTAACACTCACCATACTAGCCCATCACTCTAACTTACCCCTAACACTAACCACACTAGCCCACCACTCTACTCCTAACACTAACCACACTAGCCCACCACTCTACCCTACCACTAACACTAACCACACTAGCTCACCACTCTACATCTACCCCTAACATTATCCACACTAGCCCACAACTCTACCCTACCACTAACACTAACCACACTAGCCCACCACTCTAACCTACCACTAACACTAACCACACTAGCCCACCACTCTAACACTAACCACACTAGCCCACCACTCTACCCCTAACACTAACCACACTAGGCCACCACTCTACCCTACCACTAACAATAACCACACTAGCCCACCACTCTACCACTAACACTAGCCACACTAGCCCACCACTCTAAAACTAACACTCACCATACTAGCCAACCACTCTACCCTACCACTAACACTAACCACACTAGCCCACCACTCTACTCCTAACACTAACCACACTAGCCCACCACTCTACCCTACCACTAACACTAACCACACTACCCCACCACTCTACACCTAATACTAACCACACTAGCCCACCACTCTACCCTACCACTAACACTAACCACGCTAACCCACCACTCTACCACTACCCCTAACACTAACCACGCTAGCCCACCACTCTACCCCTAACACTAACCACACTAGCCCACCACTCTACCACTAACACTAACCACACTAGCCCACCACTCTACCATTAACACTAGCCACACTAGCCCACCACTCTACCCTACCACTAACACTAACCACACTAGCCCACCACTCTACCCCTAACACTAACCACGCTAGCCCACCACTCTACCCTGCCACTAACACTAACCACGCTAGCCCACCACTCTACCCCTAACACTAACCACACTAGCCCACCACTCTACCACTAACACTAACCACACTAGCTCACCACTCTACCACTAACACTCACCATACTAGCCCACCACTCTACCCTACCCCTAACACTAACCACACTAGCCCACCACTCTACTCCTAACACTAACCACACTAGCCCACCACTCTACCCTACCACTAACACTAACCACACTAGCTCACCACTCTACATCTACCCCTAACATTATCCACACTAGCCCACCACTCTAACCTACCACTAACACTAACCACACTAGCCCACCACTCTAACACTAACCACACTAGCCCACCACTCTACCCTTAACACTAACCACACTAGGCCACCACTCTACCCTACCACTAACAATAACCACACTAGCCCACCACTCTACCACTAACACTAGCCACACTAGCCCACCACTCTAAAACTAACACTCACCATACTAGCCAACCACTCTACCCTACCACTAACACTAACCACACTAGCCCACCACTCTACTCCTAACACTAACCACACTAGCCCACCACTCTACCCTACCACTAACACTAACCACACTAGCCCACCACTCTACCCCTAATACTAACCACACTAGCCCACCACTCTACCCTACCACTAACACTAACCACGCTAGCCCACCACTCTACCCTAACATTAATCACACAAGCCCACCACTCTACCACTACCCCTAACACTAACCACGCTAGCCCACCACTCTACCCCTAACACTAACCACACTATCCCACCACTCTACCCTACCACTAACACTAATCACACTAGCCCACCACTTTACCCCTAACACTAAACACACTAGCCCACCACTCTACCACTACCCCTAACACAAACTAAACTAGCTAAAAAGGCACTAGCCCTCACACTAACTACACTGGCCAGCCAGACACTACCCTACTCTAACCTTTGCCAGATACACACCTTTACCCGACCGCTGATCCGAACTAAACTATCCAATCAGACTGTCCCCTTCTGGCAGGATTATGGTGTGCGAGCGGAATTAACACAAAACAACTCAACGCATTCGTCAATAACAGTGTATGGCCTTAAAACAAAACTAGGTATAGAAGGCAACGTTTCGGGTAACGTCCCTTCTTCACAGCACATAAACTGAGACCCTGCCCCTCACCCCGAATATGTTGCCGTTTTTTTCTTGGATTTTCTGCATGCACAAAGTCACTTTAAGATGTTTTCTTGTTCATCTTTTTGTTTATTGTTTGTTGCGGTTGCACCCGATTCAAGAGTCGAATGGCTCACAGGGGCTATACCAAATAAATGAAACTGAAACATTCACCAATAAGCACCAAACCCTGCCCGTGAAGCACCACGTGGCGTGTGAGCTTGCGAGTGGGTCGACAAGAGAGTCGTGGCCTCACGGTTCGAGGAGGTCGGGTCCCTGTGTTGGGGGCCGTCCATAAATGACGTCACGCGATTTTAGAGGATTTTTGACCCCCCCCTCTCGTCACACGGCGTCACAAAAAGTCAGACCCACCCCCCTCAAATATGACGTCACAAAGCTCTGCCCCCCTCCCCCACAACAAAAACATATTTCCATTTTGAAAATAAAACGTGCTTCAAATCGCTTTAAACTATTGTCATTGTAGTGCGTGTTTAATGTGGCGCTGCACTCTGATGTAGGAGAAAACATTTATCAACAAGTCTATTTAATTAAGTAGAACGCGTTGTCTATATTTATTCAAAGTTGCGCATTTTTACGTGACGTCACATTTCTCAACCCCCCCACCCCCCCCGTCGTCACACATCGTCACAAATATCTGACCCCCCCCCTCCCCCGTAGGTGCGTGACGTCATTTATGGACGGCCACTTGGGACAGAGATCTTGCGTTACACAGGGGGCCGCAGTGGCGAGATGGGATTATATCTCGAGCCCTGACGCCTACATATTAGGAGCTTGCGTATTCTCCCCGTGGTCGCGTGGATTTTTCTCCGGGTCCACCGGTGGTTCCCTCTACATGTAGAATTGACATCACGCGTTTTTAGAGTGTTCGGTTGCTATAAATGTCCACGCGATAAGCCACTTCGTTGAGCTATCATTTGTGGCCAGGTCGCTTCTGAAAAGGAGCTATACAGCTCAGTGGGCCTTATCTGGTAAAAAATTTTTTTTAAAAGTTTCGTTTCAGTGTGTATATGAGATCGACTCAGCCTTAAATGAGTACCTGGTGTGGTGTGTAAACATCGCCACTAGGGAGACAAAGGCGGCTGGGCGTGGTTCTGGCCACCCACCTCCTCGTGTACCGTGCAGGCCATCCATCATAGGTGCTTCTCGCTAACAGCACTTGCCCCAACAGCCTGTTCAGACCATACGGGGGATCTTTGTCTTTGTGCGTTCGCAAGGGGGCGCAGTAGAGCCCAGACTCAGGGCTGGAATGATTCGAGTCTCCATGGAGACGGGATTGTTTATTTTCGTCTCCTAGGTTACCACGTCCGCTCTCACTCCGAGCCACCGCCACCAACAACCTCCATCACTTCCTCCTTTCCCAATTGCCCCCACTGCTTGACAATGTTACGGCTCTATTAACCATGAATATTTAACCACCGAGAGTGAGAGGGAGACAAAAACATCAACTCTGGCTGGACTCCATCCGAGATCTGTGTCATCACGTTCGGAGAATCCATCGTTGGTACGGTTCTTCTAAGCTGCCACATCCACACTGACATGCGGCGTCATCGATTGAGCCGTTAACATTCTCCGCAACGTCGCCAGTTGTTTTTGTCGTGGAGCTTGTAGTTTTCCGACGAGCCAAGATCCACATTTATCCACGTTTCTGTTTGAACACTTGCATTGCGCGCGTCCCTGCTTTGTTGTTGATGCTGTGTCCAGTGTGTGTAGGAACTAAGAACCCATTGGTTATATCGAGAGAGTCCCTTGCCTGGAACATTTGGCCAGCATTGCTTCAAGCAAGTCTGACTGCTGATGAGTTGAATTAATGTCGAAACCGGTTTACGGTTTGCTTGCATTACACCAATCCCGCTGATAGGGTTCAATCTCAGAAGTCCACGAGACAGATGGGGATATAGACATCATACTGTATATATTATTTGCAAAAGAAAAGTGTTGTTGGCTGGCTGGTTGGCAAGACTTCATAATACTGTTTGGTTATTTCAGTAAAGTCACGTAGGAAAAAAAACCCTATATTTTTTCTATATTTTTATTTCTATATATTTTTTTCACCTACGTGACTTTACCGAAAGAACCAAAGAGTATGGATCCTTGTAGTCACGAAAACTTCAAATCTAGAAAGGACTTCATAATATTGTATGCAGTGGAGGGGACATGTATGGGAAGGAGGAGTGTGTTTATACAGTAGTGCTGTTCGCATTCTCCACAACACACGCTCAATGATTATTCTTGTGTTCTGTAGTCATCTCGTGATGGGGGTTTTGCTTTGTTGGTGATCGAGATCATACCTTGAAATAAAAGAGACTTCGATTCTCAAATGGGCCCTAATCCGTTTTTATTTCAATGTTTCAATCCATTGATCTGTTTTTTTTTGTTGGCATCATCAAAGTCTGTATTTTTAAATATTGCTCGTGTTTCAAATCAATGATTAATTTGTTTATTGGACGGGTAGCAGATTAAATATTTTTTTGTTTACTCGGAATACAGACCTCGGATATTTTTTTATTTCTTTCTTTCTTTCAAAAAGCGCTCCACTAAACCTGCGCACCATCCGCCTATTCCTGATGTTGCCTTCAGTAGCTACCCTGGGTCATTCATGCTGTGATGTGCTTCCCAATAGCGTCCTCCCCGACAGATGTCTTCATTCGTTCATGCCAACTGGGAGCACGTGACCTTGGAGTCGTCTCGCTCGCATTCAACCAGAAGTTCCGCTGAGCAGCCTTCATGCGCGGCCTGATGAATCATCTGTAAACACCGCACGGAAACTTACACGGTAACGACACACCCGGTGCACGTGGGCGATGCTTTCCTGAAATGCGCAACGAATATAGAGGCGACGTAAATCGAAGCGATCCACAGGGTAGGTTGGAGGCGAAGGTTGAGGCACCGCCGTGGCAGATTTGCTTCTTTTTTTTATTCTTCGTACGGCTGGCGGAAGCAATTGGAGTTTTAAAGTCGAGGTTAGCGATCCGTTCAACGTCTTCGGGTGAGGCGGAGTGTGAGTGGTCGCGATGCCCACCGGGGAATGGATCTCTCAGGGGCAAGGAGTTCGGTTCGTGGGGGCGATCGCCTTTGGTGGTGGCCACGGTCACAATTTGTGTTGCTCCTCTCGTGCCACTTGTTAAGTGGTCGCATCTTCCCTGGCCTTGTCCTCAAGCGGCCGAGGGATGATGATGATGATGACGGCATACGATTATTGCACGTGCGTTGAACTTCTTTCGCACCGTACGTAGCCAACCGTGCTAATCGGAGGTGCAGGATGATGATGATGACGACGACGACAATCGCTGTGCCCCTAAGGCTTGCCGGTGACCCCGTGATGGTCCTGTGGGGGACGGACATGCGGAGACACATCACCGTGACGGTGCCCCGCGGGGGGCTCGAGAGTCGCGGGAGCAGCCTGATCGCCCACAGCCCCGGCGTCAACGACCGCGGCGGCCGGACGAGCAGCAGCAACAGCGGCAGCAGCAGCAGGAGGAGGAGGAGGTCGGCCACGGAGAGCCGCGTGGCCGAGGGCGAACGCGAGACGCGGGCCCCAGCGGCTGCCGGTGATGAGGCCGCCACGCACCTCGGTCGGGCCCACGCACCGGCCCACCGATTTGTCGCGACGTCGAATCTGCACAGGTGGGACCGCAGGGGCCCCCGGGGGGCTGCCGTGCCGTTGTTGCCCTGGAGACCGGGAGATCGATGATGATCGTCGATGTTCGATCGCCCTGTTGATAGCAGTCGTCGTGATTTTTGTTGTATCACTTAAGAGCGTGAGTGGGGCTGCCATCTTCCGCTCCGGACCTGCTACAAAGAGGTGACGACGACGATGATGATGATGATGACAATGATGATATACACGTGCATCGCCTTTGCCAATCCAGTGCTGGATGATTGCTATTTTTCATGAAGCGTGTCTGTTGTAATCTGTAATTTGGAGAAAGTTTGATGATGTCTCCCGGCGCCTTCAAGAAGAGATTCTTAGCTCAGTGCGCCTTTACTCGGGACTTAAACTTCTGGTTCTGGCTTCCGATGGCCAACATCGGGAGCCGGAAGTTGGAGGCGTCGCAGTTGGAGGCGCGCGGTGCTGGCTCTGCTGCACGTGGCCTCTAATCCAGCGCTGTACCCTGACTCGCCACGAGAAGGTGGTCGAGCAAAACACGTGGACTTCCACCTGTTCCGTCTGTATGGTACTGAGTGTTCCATCTGTATGGGATAGAGTGTTTCCCCCTCGCACGCGTGCGTTTCCCCTGGGCGCCTGCGGTTTCCTCTCCACATGTAGTGAGCACTCATTAATAGGCCGATAACACCTTCGCATAGCGAGGACGGCAGAGCTTGGGGAATTGTTGGCGCCGGCTCACCGCACGGCTGCCTTTCCTGCTTGTCTCCGAGTCGTCCTGATTCGTTGTCCCGCTCTGCAAAAGTGAGCGAATCCGCTGCGGCGGCAGCGAAATGGCCGGCGCGTTCCAAGTTGCAATGACCATACCTCACCACGCCGGTCGGCCGGGTCTCTTGGCCACACGCCCTCTTGGTGGCGTGCCGTGGCCGCTCGCTTCGCCCCCCGACGGTCCCTTGAGGGCCCTTCCGTGTTGGGGTGATCTTAGTCTTCGGTCTGCAGGGCCACACGAGAGGAGGAGGCGGCGGCGGCCTGCATCCAGCGCTGGTGGAGGTCTCACAATGGGCGGCTCCTCTTCCTCCGGCTCCGAGACGCCCTCCACCTCGCGGTGAGAAGAGCCCAACGCGATACGATCGGGCGCGGGGCAGGGAAGGGGAGGGGGAGGTTGACCATACTTCACCGCGCTGTTCAGCGCGGTCCAGCAACAAACGGGCGAACGGTTTCTGTTGTCACTCGCTTGTGTCGCGCCGCGGTCGGGAATCAGAAGCGTCGTGGGGGTCACGGAGAAAGGATATCTCTCAAGAGTCCGCGGTTGGACGGGGGGGGGGAGGTAAGGGGCTGTCCATAAATGACGTCACGCGATTTTGGACGATTTTTGACCCCCCCCCCTCGTCACACAGCGTCATAAAATGTCAGACCCCCCCTCAAATATGACGTCACAAAGCTATGCCCCCCCCCCAAAACCATATTTCCATTTTTAAAATAAACCATGCTTCAAATCGCTATAAACTATTGTCATTGTAGTGCGTATTTAATGTGGCGCTGCACTCTGATGTTGTAGGAGACACACATTTAGTAAAAAGTATATTTAATTAAGTTGAACGTGTTGTCTATATTTATTTAAAGTTGCGCATTTTGATGTGACGTCACATTTCTCAAACCGCCCCTCCCCCTCGTCACACATCGTCACAAATGTCTGACCCCTCCCCCCCTAGGTTCGTGACGTCATTTATGGACGGCCCCTTACGCGTGAATGAGTTGTTTCTCATTCGCTCTCGTGCGGAAGTTCGCCTTGTTGCGCAATTTCGCGATGTCCAACAGCGTGCTTCAAAATAATGTTAACACTTACACGGGACGATCGCTTTTAATGGAAAAAGGACGACTGGCTCAGTTTAACAGCAGAGGTCTCACTCCGAATCAGTCGAGCGGCAATATCTTTTCATCGGTTGCGTAACGCTGTGTGGAAGCTACGTGGTCTGTCGCTCCGCACTAAGCTTCAGGTCTTCTCGGCCACGGTCATTCCCTCCCTTCTCTACGCTTGCGAAACGTGGACCCCTTAATGGAGCATCTTCGCCGGTTGGAAACATTTAGGCTGGCCTGCCTACGATCCATCCTGGGTTTAACCAGGCTGGATTGTATGAGGAGCTCACAAATCCTTGAAAGATCTGGGCAAGGTCCCATCGGTGAGCTCCTCCGGCAGGCAAGGCTGCGTTGGTTGGGTCATGTAGCCCGCATGCCCAGCCACCGCATGCCGAAACAGCTTTTGTTCGGCCGGATCGAGGGGGCTAAGCGGGCGCGGCACGGGCTAGAGAAGAGATGGAGTGATGTGGCACAGGAGGACGTGGAGCTGAGTGGACTTGCCAATGACTGGTACCAGCGGTGTCAAGATCGGCCTCTGTGGAGGAGGCTCGTGAAGGACGCTACTGGGCAGTTGTAGGTAGTCGCCCTCCAACAACAACGGAGGGCGGAGGAGCGACGATCACAACAACGAGCGGAGCGCCGGGTGGCTAAAGCACAGCAGGTTGGCACAGTAGGGGGCACAGGTGGTGCATCAGCCACTCGTCTCAGTCAGTCGACCCGTGGCACCTGGGTCTGCCCCGTGACCTCCTGCCCGCGGGCGTTCGACACTTCACGTGGCCTCAAGGTGCACATGGCCTGGCACAAGCGTCGTGGTGACGTCACCGCCACTTAGTGGCGAATGGCGGTTGTCGTTGTTGTGTCTGTGTGTGTGCACTTTGTGTGTACTGTATATGTGTACTGTGTGTACTGTGTGAATGTGCACCGTGTGCGTGGACTGCGCGTGTGTACTATGTGTATGTGTACTGTGTGTGTACTGTTTGTGTACTGTGTTTGTACTGTGTGTATGTGCACTTTGTGTGTACTGTATATGTGTACTGTGTGTGTACTGTGTGTTTGTGTACTGTAAGTAAGTGTACTGTGTATGTGTGCACTGGCCTTCATATGTGCTCACAGCACTTGCCCTAACAGTCTGTTACAGGTTATACGGGGGATCTTTGCATGTGTGTGTATGTGCACACTGTGTACTGTGTGTACGTGCACAGTGTGTGTGTGCTGAGTGTGTACTGTGTATGTGCACAGTGTGTGTATGTGCACAGTGTGTGTATGTGCACAGTGTGTGTGTGCTGTGTGTGTACTCTGTGTATATGCACAGTGTGTGCTGTGTGTGTACTATGTGTATGTGCACAGTATGTGTGTGTGTACTCTGTGTATGTGCACAGTGTGTGTGTGTGCTGTGTGTGTACTCTGTGCATGTGCACAGTGTGTGCTGTGTGTGTACTATGTGTATGTGCACAGTGTGTGTGTGCTGTGTGTGTACTCTGTGTATATGCACAGTGCGTGCTGTGTGTACTATGTGTATGTGCACAGCGTGTGTGTGTGCTGTGTGTGTACTCTGTGTATGTGCACAGTGTGTGCTGTGTGTGTACTATGTGTATGTGCACAGTATGTGTGCTGTGTGTGTACTATGTGTATGTGCACAGTATGTGTGTGCTGTGTGTGTACTCTGTGTATGTGCACAGTGTGTGCTGTGTGTGTACTATGTGTATGTGCACAGTGTGTGCTGTGTGTGTACTATGTGTATGTGCACAGTGTGTGTGTGCTGTGTGTACTATGTGTATGTGCACAGTGTGTGTGTGCTGTGTGTGTACTCTGTGTATGTGCACAGTGTGTGTGTGCTGTGTGTGTACTCTGTGTATGTGCACAGTATGTGCTGTGTGTGTACTATGTGTATGTGCACAGTGTGTGTGTGCTGTGTGTGTACTATGTGTATGTGCACAGTGTGTGTGTGTGCTGTGTGTGTACTATGTGTATGTGCACAGTGTGTGTGTGCTGTGTGTGTACTGTGTATGTGCACAGTGTGTGCTGTGTGTGTACTATGTGTATGTGCACAGTGTGTGTGCTGTATGTGTACTATGTGTATGTGCACAGTGTGTGTGTGCTGTATGTGTACTATGTGTATGTGCACAGTGTGTGTGTGTGCTGTGTGTGTACTATGTGTATGTGCACAGTGTGTGTGTGCTGTGTGTGTACTCTGTGTATGTGCACAGTATGTGCTGTGTGTGTACTATGTGTATGTGCACAGTGTGTGTGTGCTGTGTGTGTACCCTGTGTATGTGCACAGTGTGTGCTGTGTGTGTACTCTGTGTATGTGCACAGTGTGTATGTGCACAGTGTGTGTGTGCTGTGTGTATGTGCACAGTGTGTGTGTGTGTGCTGTGTGTGTACTATGTGTATGTGCACAGTGTGTGTGTGTGCTGTGTGTGTACTCTGTGTATGTGCACAGTGTGTGCTGTGTGTGTACTCTGTGTATGTGCACAGTGTGTGTGTCCTGTGTGTATGTGCACAGTGTGTGTGTGTGCTGTGTGTGTACTATGTGTATGTGCACAGTGTGTGTGTGCTGTGTGTGTACTCTGTGTATGTGCACAGTGTGTGCTGTGTGTGTACTCTGTGTATGTGCACAGTGTGTGTGTACTATGTGTATGTGCACAGTATGTGTGCTGTGTGTGTACTATGTGTATGTGCACAGTATGTGTGTGCTGTGTGTGTACTCTGTGTATGTGCACAGTGTGTGCTGTGTGTGTACTATGTGTATGTGCACAGTGTGTGCTGTGTGTGTACTATGTGTATGTGCACAGTGTGTGTGTGCTGTGTGTACTATGTGTATGTGCACAGTGTGTGTGTGCTGTGTGTGTACTCTGTGTATGTGCACAGTGTGTGTGTGCTGTGTGTGTACTCTGTGTATGTGCACAGTATGTGCTGTGTGTGTACTATGTGTATGTGCACAGTGTGTGTGTGCTGTGTGTGTACTATGTGTATGTGCACAGTGTGTGTGTGTGCTGTGTGTGTACTATGTGTATGTGCACAGTGTGTGTGTGCTGTGTGTGTACTGTGTATGTGCACAGTGTGTGCTGTGTGTGTACTATGTGTATGTGCACAGTGTGTGTGCTGTATGTGTACTATGTGTATGTGCACAGTGTGTGTGTGCTGTATGTGTACTATGTGTATGTGCACAGTGTGTGTGTGTGTGCTGTGTGTGTACTATGTGTATGTGCACAGTGTGTGTGTGCTGTGTGTGTACTCTGTGTATGTGCACAGTATGTGCTGTGTGTGTACTATGTGTATGTGCACAGTGTGTGTGTGCTGTGTGTGTACCCTGTGTATGTGCACAGTGTGTGCTGTGTGTGTACTCTGTGTATGTGCACAGTGTGTATGTGCACAGTGTGTGTGTGCTGTGTGTATGTGCACAGTGTGTGTGTGTGCTGTGTGTGTACTATGTGTATGTGCACAGTGTGTGTGTGTGCTGTGTGTGTACTCTGTGTATGTGCACAGTGTGTGCTGTGTGTGTACTCTGTGTATGTGCACAGTGTGTGTGTCCTGTGTGTATGTGCACAGTGTGTGTGTGTGCTGTGTGTGTACTATGTGTATGTGCACAGTGTGTGTGTGCTGTGTGTGTACTCTGTGTATGTGCACAGTGTGTGCTGTGTGTGTACTCTGTGTATGTGCACAGTGTGTGTGTACTATGTGTATGTGCACAGTGTGTGCTGTGTGTGTACTATGTGTATGTGCACAGTGTGTGCTGTGTGTGTACCCTGTGTATGTGCACAGTGTGTGCTGTGTGTGTACTATGTGTATGTGCACAGTGTGTGCTGTGTGTGTACTCTGTGTATGTGCACAGTGTGTGTGTGGACTGTGTTCGCTACTCAGCTGTGTCCTTGTACGATTTCGCTTTGTGCGCCCTCTTTTTGGAAACGCATCTACCACCGCATAAAGCGAGGGGAAACCTATATTACTACTACTACGAATACACAACTGACACCAGTCGGGACTTGTAACGTCCCGGGAAGAGGTACAGATTTCCCAGGGCAGCATCTGTTACCTCCTCCAAAGAGAGGACGATCCTGGGAAACCGGGGCCAGGCGACAACCCCATGAGAAAATTGGGTCGTTAAAAAGGTTCCAGTTGAATGATCGCCGCCCAATGCACTTCTCTGTCTGTATTGTCTACAAATGCAATGCAGTGTGGATCTACGCAGGAAAAATGTGGGGGGCGCCGCAGTGGCGAGATGTCAACTCCCTCGCCTGGTATGCCGGATAGTCGTGGGTTCGATCCCCACCCTGACGCCTGTATAGGTGGAGTCTGCGTGTCTCTCTCTCTCCCCGTGTGTCGCATGCATTTTTTTCTGGGTCCCCTGGTTTTCCTCTCCACATTTAGAATCAACATCACGCGGTTAGCGTATTTGGCTCCGGTTTCCTCCCACATGTGTAAAAAACATAGTCCCTAATTGGCTGAAAACATCTTAATACATAGAGAATTGCAGAGCAATATTTTTTGCACCGGCTCATCGCCTGTCAGCCTTCCAGCCCGTGTGCGGTCCCTACTCAGCGACAGTGTGAGATGCAATTTACATGGGTGACGACGCTATATGAAGCCAAAATATATTTTGGTATTTTATTTACCAGGGCGGCTATTAGATTCGAACCGCGAGCCTCTGCAACGAGCGGCAGACGCGCTCCTACCCCTTGGTAGATGATGTGTGTGTGTATATATACAGCGTTGCTATCTCGAGGTTTTGTGGAAATTGAGCAGGCTTTGTACGAATGAACACTGCGCCATCGTCCGCTCATTCATCTGATGTCATCGCCCACCCCACCCTAGGAGAAGTGCTTGACCTACGACCTCCTGAGGAGAGTGAGCCCCAAAGAGGCAGAGCTTCTGAGAGATCCCAGCATGCAGTGCCGCGTGCGTCTTCGGTGAGACGGCCTTCAAATTGCTTTATTTTAAACATCGCGGTTTGCCGAGCACCGCGGCCCAAACGCCACAACTGCGAACAACACCGCGTTGAATGTCACGTGACAAGCGCATAGCACAGCAGGGTAGCACGACTCCCAGCATGCCTTGCGTGCGAGTCACGTGACCAGCGCATTGCACAGCAGGGTAGCACGACTCCCAGCATGCCTTGCGTGCGAGTCACGTGACCAGCGCATTGCACAGCAAGATGACGCGACTCCCACCATGCTTTGCGTGTCGACGGCAGTGACGGCATTGATGCCGGTGTTGTCAACCCTATTGCAGGCTGGCGGGCGACCAATTTCCACCCCGAGTCGTCTTCAAGATCTTCAGCCGGCCCGGCGCGACGAGCAGCACTTACATGAGCGGCTGCCGCCTGATCCAGCCGGCCAGCCAGGTGACCGTGGGCAGAGCCGTCCCTTAAGGGTACGGCGAATCGGGGCTCCCGCCCCAGGCCCCGCACTTTGGGGAGTGTTATACTTCCGGTTTAGGTTGAAGGCGTCGGGGAAGGGGAGGGGGGTGGTGCCCACACTGTGGGATTGGCCCCCGCATCGCCCGCAATGGGCGGCTCTGACCGCGATCTAAAGGCGCAGCCCTGCAATTCCCTCGTCACGCGGCTGCTGGTGGAAGCACCTCCGCTAGAGGGAGCTCTACAAAGCCCTCCCCCCACCTCCGTTCTAGAGGGTACGTCGGCCTACACTTCAACAGCGGGCAGATGTCTCGGAAAAGGGTTGAGAGGACCCACGTTTTACCGCGCCAAAGTGCGTCCTGCCAATCGACTAACCGCGGTGTACCCATTGACGCTACTGTTGAATCTTGACTCAAAGCTTTGGGTCTTTTGGTAAAGTCACGTAGAACACATTTTTTTTTACAAAAACCTACGACGTTTCGATCGCAACACAAGCAATTGTCATCAGGAGAAATAAGTAATATTTAAAAATACTTTAAAAAAAAAACACGCTTTAATTAAATGTATGGTGCATGAGTAATGGCAGAACTCCACGACTCCAGGAAGTGGCCCCGAAGCTTGCCATAAGGCAAGGGACCGTGGTGATTTACAGCCAACGTTAGTTGAGCGTGGACAATTAGACCCAAGCCGAAACATAACATATAAACAAATATTGTTTTAAAATATTTATTTTATTATTTTTAATGATAGAATATAGTATTGTCATCAGTATGACATAAGTATACCAAGTTTGCAGTCGATACCACATTGGGAAGTGGGTTAAAATTGAGTTACAAGATTTGAGGACAGTGAGTTAAATAAAAGCGTGTAAAGCATGTACAGTGGTACCTCGGTATACGTCGTTAATTCGTTCCAGAAGGTAGGAGGACTTATATACCGAAGATGACGTCTACCAAACGAATGTTTCCCATAATAAATAAAGGGAAAGGAAATAATTCCGTTCCAGAGTATAAGAAATTATATTTTATATGGCATATTGTACATTAATGGGGTTGTCTAAAATAATGTAGACACTACTTATTACTAAAATGCATACATAAATTAAAATTACAAAAAAACACGTGAAAATTCACAGAGAGTTATAGCAAGGGTTGTGCACTGCACGAGATCTACAGGCAGACTGAGGAGCGGCGCTTTGTTTCAGCCATGAACGGGGTCTACGCGGGTACGTGGTGGCTCATCCGGACCCATACAAGTTCTAGCAAGCGCGTCGTATCCCCAAGACATTTTTTTCTCGTCAAAACACGACGTGTGCCAAATTCGACGTATTCCAAAGCAGTCGTATACCGAGGTACCACTGTAATTAAAAGAGCGGGAAAGCTGCTGAACCAGGCTGTTTTAAAGGTTTGAAATGGGCGTAGCCCAAAGCCCAAGGGTCATAAACGAAGTGGGCGGGGCTAGTGATGTTAAAGTGATAAATTTGCATGTTCGGTTGGCAAAGACGGAGCGGGGTGCTGGGTGGGGCATTTAACTGCCGTGCCAGGAGGTGGCGTCGAACCGGCGACCTCTGGATCGCGAGTCCGGGGCGTTGACCCGTGCGTTGCGCGACTCTGCCGTTGTGCCGTGTTGACCGTGCAGTGCGTGAGCCACCTGGGTGAGACGGCTGCTCACAGCATCACGGCAGCGTCCCACGTGCACGCGGCTCGTCATCATCATTATTCGTGTGGCTGTGCGCGCGCGTCCAGGCGGGAGGTGGGGGGAGCAGTGGCGCAGCAGTTCGCTCGCTGCGCTGCGAACCAGGCCGCCCGAGTTTGATTCCTGCTCACGGCCGCGGCCAACACCAGTGATGATTACCGTTCGAGCCAGCCCCATATGGCCATCACTGATTCCCCATTCATTTTAATCCATTCATCATCATTCACTGTCAACAATTTCTCTTTAACAGAAGTCACGCATCACAGATTCGCCTCCCATTGCTTCCGCTCGTCTATTTTATTCACCTCCTCTCCACCATCACATTCGTATGTTGCACTGTTCTTAATCCTCCGCAAAGTGCATTTAAATTACGTGAAGGTAAGATAATAAATTAGTACAAGTGTAATGACAATAGAGCCTGCATGCGGCGTGAGGGGACTAGTGGCCACGGAAGTTAATGACAGGGAGGTCAGCCTACAGTGCGAATGCACTAGTGGCCACAGCTGGTAATGACAGGGGAGTCAGTTGTGAGTGAGAAGGGACTGGTGGCCACGGGAGGTAATGACAGGGGAGTCAGTTGTGAGTGAGAAGGGACTGGTGGCCACGGGAGGTAATGACAGGGGAGGCAGTTGTGAGTGAGAAGGGACTGGTGGCCACAGGAGGTAATGACAGGGGAGTCAGTTGTGAGTGAGAAGGGACTGGTGGCCACGGGAGGTAATGACAGGGGAGTCAGCTGTGAGTGAGAAGGGACTGGTGGCCACGGGAGGTAATGACAGGGGAGTCAGTTGTGAGTGCGAAGGGACTGGTGGCCACGGGAGGTAATGACAGGGGAGTCAGCTGTGAGTGCGAAGGGACTGGCGTCCACGGGAATGTTCGAGAAGGGAGCGTGGCCGGGCGACGGAAGAGGATAGTGGAGTCTGCCGGTGGAGCGAGCGTCCAGAGTCAGCGAGAATGATCGAGAAGGGGGGCGTGGCCTCGTGTCGGTATATAAGGGGGAGATGCGCGGGAGACTCGGGGCTGTTGCAGTGGGGGCCTCTGCCTGATGTCAAGTGAACGTGTCTTCAATAAAGTGCCATATCAAGAGAAGTGTGTCAAGTCGTCACTACACATGCCTGGTGCGGTGTGTAAAACATCACCTGCTCGTGTCACCGTGTGCCGCCCGTTATCAAGTGTTTGCTCACAGCACTTGCCCCAACAGCCTGCTAAAGGCTATATGGGGCGGGGGGGGATCTATCTTCGTCTTTGTCTAGGCAGCCACGGACGCGTATCACATGATGGGCACCCGCAGCTTCTGCAAGCAGATCACGCTCGATGCTCAACTTCACGAGAGGGCGAGAGTTACGGGCGAGGTGGACGTCACCACTGGCAAGGACTACATGCAGGTGTGTGCGCGCGAGTTGTGGGGAGCGGCCACCTTTGTCTCCCTGGTGCCGGGGTGTAGGAAACATCGCCGCCAGTGACAATATCTGAACCGGTCCCAGGCTTATACCTCGGTCGACTCGGCCTCAAATGAGTGCCTGTTGTAGTGTGGAACGTCCGCGTTGGGAAGACAAGGGCGTCCGGGCGTAGTGCTGGCCACCCACCCCCTCGTGTGCCGTGCTGGCCTTCATAGGTGCTCGCTAACAGCACTTGCCCCAACAGTCTGTTATGGCTATATGGGGGATCTTTGTCTTTGTTGGAAGCGGTGGCGTAGTGGGTTAGCGTGTCGCGTACCCAGCGAACCCGAGTTCGATTCGCGCTTATGGCCATCAGAAATCTGAAGCTAACGAGTACCTCTTGCGGTGTGTAAACGTCAGTGCTGGGGGAGACAAAGGCGGCCGGGCACCACCCCAATTTAGGACCTCACCGAGTCTTTAGGCAGAAGAGGGCCCCCACTGAGGGGGAGCTCTAGAGTACCCCGCTAGAGGACTCCCGCTCTTCCACTCTGGCCAGACGTCTTGAAACAGTTGTGCATGCCCACACTTTACCCCACCACACGTGACCTGTCGGGGGGAGGACAGGGGGGGGGGGTCGATACAAGAAGCGTCGTCCCGTCCTTTCAACTCGCCGCGCCGGGAGAGCCGACGGAAGCGGCGGCGTCTGGATCGTCGCACCGCACCGCTCGCTCGCTCGTTCCACCTCGATGCGTGGCCCCCGCCTCGCTCCTCCCCCCCCTCCCTCCCCCCACAGTACGTGAGCTACCTGGATGAGACGGAAGCTCGCCTGGGAGGACGGGGCAACAGGTGGCGGACGCTGAGCCTGGCCGAGCTGCCCCGCGGTGACAAGGGGCGGCAGGTCGCGGCCGCCGCTCCCTCGCCGACACTCGCCCCCGTCGGGGATCGTCGCTACCACCGGGACGCTCGGCCGAGCGGCCGGTGAGGCACAGTGCGGTGCCGCGTGTAGATAGATGATGTGACGCGTGTTCGTGAAGATGGTCCGGGCGAAATGTGCGCAACCCGATAGTAAGAATAAAAACATTACAATTTAATAATTGTTAATAGTTCGTGGTTTGTTACTCGCACAGATGTTGTTCACACTCTCTCTCTCTTGAGGGAGAGAATTATTCAGAGACGCGGGAAACCAGACGAGCCGAAAGCCAGCCAGAGGTAATTCAAACGATTCGTCCAAGCTCTGCTATCCTATAATGCCGATACCTCGCAGACGTGGAACGTAGAAGTTGTGATCACTAATTAACAAACAAAAAAAAGGCCGGGAAGCGTCACAAAATCCATGCGTGCGCACGATTTTTCTTCCTTGTTGCTGCTTGCGTGCTCCCCAGGTTGTCCTCGGCTCCTCCGGAGGTGCCTCGACACCCGACGCTGGATGCCTCCTCCTCCTCCTCGTCGTCGTCAAGGCGACGCTGGCGGTCCAGGCAGGCCCTGCTCCGTCTGGCCCGCTTGCGCCGCGACTACGGCCTCGTGCCTCCTCCCTCCGCACGGGTGGGGACTCGCGTGCCACCGCACAAGGGAGGACGATGATGATGCATTTCTACGTATTATAGTTGTTATATATGTAACTATATCACCCCAACTCACAGGCCGACGACGGAGCCGACGCCGGGATGGGCGATCGCGACCGGGAAGCCACCGTCCTCCCCAGCCTGAGGTCAGTGTTCGGCAGAGTTTGGCAGAACGGAACGTCCCCCGTCCCCCAACCCCCCCCCTCCTCCCCCCACTGCTCCTCCACCCTCGATTCTCTCTATCTCTCTCCACCCACGATTGTTGAGAAGCGGTGGAGGGGGGGTTGGGGCGGTGGGGGCTGCTCGTGCATCCGTCGCGCCGGAATCGTCTCGCGCCTTGCGTCCGTTGGTTCCGATCGTGCCGCCGATACATCGGCCGTGCTCGTTGCCAGTGCTGCGCAGTCGAATGTGCGAATGCCGCCTGGCTTTTTTACTTTCGTTTACATCACGATTGCCGAGCAAAAGGGGCCCAAAATGCCACGCGGCCAGCAACCAACGGCACGATTAAGGTCGGAATCGTTAAGACGCTAATTTGTTTCCTGAATCGAGCAAGGTTGTTGTAAGGAAAAGAAGCGTAGGAATCTGGAGCTCGGCTATTATATTATGCGAGTAGTAGATTACCGGTTATCGGTTCGATTACTCGACTAACCAGGCGACATCCAAATTTTTGGCAACGTCCCACCCACTTCTCCCTCTCTGTCTATGCGTGCCGCTGGACGGGAGGTGATGGGCGAGGCTTGTTAGGGCGGTAGGATGTGGTGGAAGCCGCGGGTTTTTTTATATTCAGGAGCCCTGAGCAGTCGGCCACAGAAAAGGCAATCGATTACAATGTTTAGTCCTAGCTCTCTCACCTGAATGTAACCACACGTCGAGACACTGGACGAGAAGTTAAGCTTTGAGATGTGATGCGGGGTGCTTTGAGACCCTGCGGCATTTAAATAAGCGTTCGAAATGAAGTCCTTGCCTCTGCTCTTGTCCACGCCGGCCTTTTATTAGTTGGTCATTTTATTTCCCAGCGACGAGCGTCCTGGCCGCGCGGACGCAACGGCGGACGAGCGTCGCCCGCGGGCGACCGCGGCGGAGTGCGGACGGTGGGCCGAGGAAGCGTGGGAGGAGGAGGCGGAGCTCCTGTTTGCCTGGGCGCGAGATCTCTCCCTCGAAAGCCTCGACTTCTCCGCCGACCAGGAGCTTGGCTGAGCCGCCGCTGGCGACGACGACAACAAAAAACCCGTGGAAGCGCGGCCACGCACGAGCGGTGTCCTTCCGCCAACAACGCGCAGCGACATTTGCACGGTTTGTTGTTATTGATTCAGTGATTTTGGACTAAACGGAGCTCCGTTTAGCACGATAAAACCTGCTGGGCAACCTGTCTTGCGAGGGGCAAGTGTTTTTTATGGGATTGTTATTACTGTCTTATACAGCGTTGTGCGATGCAGTTTTGCATAAACGCTCTCGATAATAAGGCCAAAACCGGTCCAGAATTTTCCTGCCAGATAAGGCTGATCCGGAAAGAGCCATCGGAGGATGGTGGCTACGCACGCCGGTTATCGAGCACTTGGAGGCGAGGGTTGGTGGATCGCATAAGCGCTGCGAAGCTCCGTTCCCGTGGGCGATCGATGAGGTGCCTTAAACCCCGGCTCGAGGAGAAGGCGGTACAGCAAAGCGTTGGCTCCACCCCTTTCATCTGTACGGGATAGAGTGTTGCCCCCTCACTCGTGTGGGTTTCCTCCCCGTGCTTTGCTTTTCTCCCACATTTAAAACTGATTAACTGCCTGGAAACATCTGAAGCTGTAGGGGACTGCAGAGCTTGGGCAATTGTTAGTGCCGGGTCCTTGTCCGGCTACTTTCCATCTCCAGGAAAAAAAAAAAACTAAACACGTTATTATCATATAAAAAAGGACAAATATGTGTGTTAATTTGGAGAAATTTATTTTCTGCCTGTCCATTATATATTTAAAACAAACTCCGTGTCCGATTGATAAGTAATTTTGGGTGTGGCCACAAAATGGATTGGCCATCATCCTTTCCGGGGGTCGATAAAGTTGGTACCGTTTTGTGGCGAAGTCAGCGGAGTATTTTCTTACGGCTGTGCCCAGCCCTGCCATAGGAATGGCTCGGCGCTGTAAACGGTAGACGATCGCTGCCAAGATCGCTCAGTTGAGCAAGAAATCTCTTGAAATGTCTCTGTACGGTTACATAACACGGTTTCACAGCGGTCGTCAACGAACTACTTTCTCGGGCTGAGCGGTGCGACCTGGTACGCAGAGTGATACAGTAACGCGGCGGCGTACCCTCAGTTATTTGTCCTGCCATCACACTGCGTGTGCATGGTACCACATCGTATCTCGCCAAACTTTATCGTCACATTATTTATGGGTAAATAGTTTATTTTAATTTTGCCAGCTAAGCCCCGCGGAGCTGTGTAGCTCTTTTTCAGAAGCGACCTGGCCACAAATGATCGCTCAAAGAAGTGGCCTATCATCACGTGGACATTTATAGCAGCAAATACTCTAAACGCGCGTTGTTGATTCTAAATGTGCAGGGAAAAAACCGGAGGACCCAGAGAAAAATCCATGCGACCACGGGGAGAGAGAGAGACACGAAAACTCCAAATATACAGCAGCAGGCGTCAGGGTCGGGATCGAACCCACAACCTTCCTGCATGCCAGGCGAGGTAGTTAACATCTCCTAGCCACAGCGGCGCTACCACATTACACGAGCAACGACTGTGAGATTCGTTCTCCGCTACTTTGGCGACCTCGGGTTTAACGGGGTCACTGCGCAGATGTTCCGCAGCGTGGAGCAATGCCCAACACCCCAGCCTGGCCACCATCCCCTCTCCTTCCCACGCAGTGAACGGCGTCACGCGTCCGTACATTTTTTGTTATGATTATAATAAGCCAGGAATGTGTATCCCGCACGTGACGTCACTCAAGATGAGGCCCACACCCCCCCCGCGTGACATCACTCCACATGAGGCACCCCCCCGCGTGACGTCACTCCACATGAGGCCCACCCCCCCTCATTAATATTCATGAGTGGGAGAATTTTTACACGAACGAGGAAGGTCGAGCTGAATTAAATAATTTATTATGCAAAGTCGCTTCAAATATGATGTTTCTTTACAGAAAGTGACGGTGAAAAATAAATATACGCAGCACAGTGCTACATCCGTACGTGACGTCACTGCAAAAGAGGCCCCCCCCCCCCTTCATTAATATTCATGCCCGCGTGAAAATTTACGCTGAAGCACAAGAAGGTCGCGCACTCCACATGCCGCACCTCTCCACAATAACCACGAGGGGGTGACGTCACTCCACATGCCGCACCCCTCCCACCATTAATAATCATGAGTGGATAACGTCACTCCACGTGCCACACCCCTCCACAATAACCATGAGGGGGTGACGTCACTCCACATGCCGCACCCCTCCACAATAACCATTAGCGGGTGACGTCACTCCACATGGGGCAACCCCCCCCCCTTATTAATAATCATGAGCTGAACAATTTTTCTATTTAATATTTCACATTTACTGCAATAGACACCCGTCCTTGGAAGGGCATTCAAGCTCGTTATAGTTAATTCTAGATTTGAAGTTTTCGCGACTGCAATGATCCATACTCTTTGGTTCTTTCGGTAAAGTCACGTAGGTAAAAATAAAAAAAAATTAAGTTAATCAAATCACGACGATTCGGAGGCAACACCAAGCTTCCGTCATCAGGTGTAACTAGCACAGCAAAATTTCTGTAAAGAAAGCTGTCATATTCTTGGTTATTTCGGTAAAGTCACGTAGAAGGGAAACAATAAAATAATAAAAATATAAAAACAATACAATTCTCACGACGTTTCGACAGCAACACAAGCAATCATCATCGTGAGAATTGTATTGTTTTATGCTTTTTATTATTTTATTGTTTCCCTTCTACGCGACTTTACCGAAAGAACCAAGAATATGAATCCCTGCAGTCACGAAAGCTTCCAATCAAAATTTAGAGCTGTTATAGTTATCGACACGCTCCATTTAGTCCGATCGTGCCACCGAACATCGCCCCGTGTTTGGGGCGCCGTGGCGACATTCAGCGGCGGAAAGTCAAAAGCCAAAGTGATTCCCTGCTCAAATTGAGCACCGGTGCAGTGTTAATAATCTCTTGTTTATACACTTGGCCGACCAGTTCCCGAGCCCCTTCTACCCTAACCTTATCTTTCCAACCAGAGCACACAAAAGCATGCTATTGTGTTTTTCACCGTCGGGCAACTTTTGCCTACGTGTGTGGGTATATGCGAATTTCCGCACCTCCGATTGGCACGGTTGGATACCTACAATGCAAAAGAAGTTCAACATATATGGGGTCTTGATTTAAAGCTTTCGTGACTGCAGTGATTCATATTCTTGGTTCTTTCATTGAAGTCACGTTGAAGGGAAACAATAAAATAATAAAATATATATAAAACAATAAAATTATCACGATGATGACTGCTTGTGTTACAGTCGAAACGTCGTGATAATTTTATTGTTTTTTTATATATATGTTTTATTATTTTATTGTTTCCCTTCAACGTGACTTTACCTAAAGAACCAAGAATATATATGGGGTCGTCCATAAATGACGTCACGCACCTAGGGGTGGGGGTGTCAGACATTTGTGACGATGTGTGACGAGGGGGGGGGGGTCAGAAATGTGACGGCACAGCAAAATGCGCAACTTTAAATATAGACAACACGTTCTACTTAATTAAATATACTTTTTAATAAATGTTTTCTCCTACAACATCAGAGTGCAGCGGCACATTAAATACGCACTATAATGACAGAGCTTTGTGACGTCATATTTGAGGGATGGGGGTCTGACTTTTTGTGACGCCGTGTGACGAGGGGGTGGGGTCAAAAATCGTCCAAAATCGCGTGACGTCATTTATGGACGGCCCCTATATACACATACAGTACATGTGTTGGTGGTGATTGTGTTGTGTGTAAGCGGTAGCGTGCAGCGCTACGAACCCGGCGACCCGAGTTCGATTCCCGCTCACGGCCAACACCGGTGACGATTGTCTGAACCGGTCCTGGGCCTCTCCTAGGTCGACTCAGCCTCAAATGAGTACCTGGTACGGTGTGTAAACATCGCCACTGGGGAGACAAAGGCGGCCGGGCGTGGTGCTGGCCACCTACCCCCTCGTGTGCCTTTCCGGCCTTCATAGGTGCTCGCTAACAGCACTTGCCCCAACGGTCTGTTAAGGCTATGCGGGGGATCTTTGTCTTTAGATTAGTATGTGGCCCACCAAGGGTATTTGACAGTCTCATTTGGCCCTCGGCAAGTAAAAAAAGATAATCCACGAATGGTTTATGAAGGTTAAACATCAGACAGTTGAAAGATTTAACAAGCTATAGTGGGCCAGTTGTAATGGCGAACTCCATTACATCTGGCTGGCTGGAGGGTGCTGGCCATGTAAGGGGCCGTCCATAAATGACGTCACGCGATTTTGGACGATTTTTGACCCCCCCCCTCCTTCGTCACACGGCGTCACAAAAAGTCAGACCTCCCCTCAAATGTGACGTCACAAAGCTCTGCCCCCTCCCCAAAAATTTAACATGCTTCAAATCGCTTTAAACTATTGTCATTGTAGTGCGTATTTAATGTTCCGCTGCACTCTGATGTTGTAGGAGAAAACATTTATTAAAAAGTCTATTTAATTAAGTAGAACGTGTTGTCTATATTTATTTAAAGTTGCGTATTTTGATGTGACTCTCACATTTCTCAAACCCCCCCCTCCCTCGTCACACATCGTCACAAATGTCTGACCCCCCCCCCCCCAGGTGCGTGACGTCATTTATGGACGGCCCCTAATGATATAGCCATATTTGTGTCGGTGCGGTCCTCCAGCAAACCCAGACGAGCCGAGCAAATGATATTGTCACGTGGTGTACAGAGTTAGCAGCAATAAAACGAGGTTTCGATTGAAACTGCGGCAAGTGAGGGGGCAACGCTTTATCCCAGGACAGGATCCAGGGGAAGATTGAAGCGAGATGTTAACCGTGGTATTTTTATCTGTACACAGAGATTATAATCGTGTGAAAGAAGATTTAATCGAGCGGTGAATTGAACATGGCCCATGATGTACAATATTTTTACGGATTGAAATTGTAATTTATATAATCAATGTTTGATTTTAGTTGTCCTATTTCGACGGCAATTCATCAAGTCTTTTATAACTAAGAGCGCGTCTATATATACACGTATCTAAATGATTTTACTACGTCAATTGCTTTGATTGTAATTTTAATTTCGATGTATCTAGCATCTTATAATTAAAAAGTCCAAATCACGTGAATTGTGACACCCTACGTGTCTGTGTTTTTTTTGGTCTAAATCTCATTGCTTCTGTTTCGTAATTGAGACATGTCTTTACCTAAAACTCGCACAGGAATGAATCCAGCCGTTCGGAGCCGGCTTTTGGCGACTCGCGGCGGCTTCCGCTGTGCGTGGTGAAACAGCAAATTCTTACTAGCACAATAATTAAATACTCACGAAGTGTACACCGTTTTTTTTAAAACCCTCGCGTCTGTAATCCACCTCCTGGGGGAGGGGAACCACCAGAAAATGCACACCTGATTAGTGATTGCATTTGCATATAAAAGGCGGCTGTAACTGGAACTGATTTGGCTAAATGGGGGAGGTGGGAGAGGCCTTTGGTGTGGTCGGGAGCCAGGGTAGAAAATCCTGCCATGCCAGGTGAGGCAGAGGAGGAAAACCACCAGAGCGCTTCCCACCTTCACCCAGCCAGCCAGGCAGCCAGCCCCCTTCACCCAGCCAGCCAGCACCCTCCAGCCAGCACCTTCCAACCAGCCAGCACCTTCCAACCAGCCAGCACCCTTCACACAGCCAGCCAGCACGCTCCAGCCAGCACCTTCCAACCAGCCAGCACCTTCCAACCAGCCAGCACCCTTCACACAGCCAGCCAGCACCCTCCAGCCAGCCAGCACCCTCCAGCCAGCCAGCACCCTCCAGCCAGCCAGCACCCTCCAGCCAGCCAGCACCCTCCAGCCAGAACCCTCCAGCTAGCCAGCACCCTCCATCCAGCCAGCACCCTCCATCCAGCCAGCACCCTCCATCCAGCCAGCACCCTCCATCCAGCCAGCACCCTTCACCTAGCCAGCCAGCACCCTCCAGCCAGCCAGCACCACTCACACAGTCAGCCGGCACCCTCCAGCCAGCCAGCACCCTCCAGCCAGGCAGCCAGCCCCTCCAGCCAGCCAGCACCACTCACACAGTCAGCCGGCACCCTCCAGTCAGCCAGCACTCTTCAGCCAGTCAGCCAGCACCCTTCAGTCAGCCAGCACCCTTCAGTCAGCCAGCCCCCTCCATCCAAACCGGACTTCAGCGAGGAGGGGATGAGTCGTCCTGAACTGTAAGTGCCAGTTTAATAGAATTCGGCTTCCACGGACGCAGCGAGATCCCGTGAGACGCAGGGAGAGGCT